CCGGTGACCTGCTTTCTCACTTTCCTTTGCTCTCACTCTCTCTGGTCAAATTCAAAACTGTTAACAATCAATGAGTCAATCAAATAATAGATACAATTTTTTAAATTTTATTTATTCATTCATTTAAATTTGATGAGAGAGAAAGAGAGAGAAAACAAGCTGCCAGGTCCAGGATTTGAACTGCGGTCGGCCATGTGGGAGTGTCCAGTGCCTTAACCACCACACCACCTGCTGGTCCCCAATAATAAGTACAATTTTTAAGAGAGAGTTTAACTATATGATGCATGTGTTTGCCAGAGACTCAGAGACAGACAAACAGAAAGCAAGAAATCACAGCCCCCACCAGGGGATGGCCTTGCTGCAATCCCTTCTCCACTCTCCTCTCAGGATTTTTGGCGTGCATGCACGTGTGCCCAGCGTTGAGCCTTTGGGCCTGGAACTCGAACCGTGGTTGACTACATGGAAGTCTAGTCACACAACCGTTAGCCATCTGCTGGTCCCAAAATTAATAATTCATTTAAAAAAAAAAAAAAAGAAGAAAGAAAAGAAAAGAAAAGAAAATTACGCCAGGTATGCCTGCGTGGTTGCCCAGACCCCTGAGAGGAGAATGGAGAGGAGCTTTTGGGGTGGCCATCCCCTGGGGTGCTCTCGCTCTTCTTTTCCTCTCTCTGTCTCTCTCTAGTGAGTGTACATGCCCTATGGCAAAAACCAAAATCAAACCAACAAAAAAACCAAATACTTTGAAAAAAGCAAAAGGAGAGGAGGGGAGGGGAGGGGAGGGGCTGTTCCTGATGAAGGAGTTATTTGCCAGGACAAATGTTAAAGAATCCAGTCCTGGCTCAATTACCCAACCATGAAGACGTCAGGGACAGCTGTCAGAACAAGGACCAACGGGCTGGTGCACGGTGTGATGGTTAGGGCACTGGACTCCCACATGGCCGACTGTGGTTCATGTCCTGGACCTGGTGGCTTGCTTTCTCTCTCTCTGTCCCTCTCTGGTCAAATAAGTAAATAAAGTTAAATAAAATCATTCTTTAAAAAAATAAAAAGGACTAGGAATGATGATTATGTCATCAAGGGACACAGGGTGGGTGAAGAAATACGGGGCTGGGGGCCGGCAGGTGGCATAGTGGTCAAGGGCGCTGGACTCCCATATGGCCGACGGCAGTTTGAGCCCCGGACCCAGCAGGTTGCTTTCTCACTTCCCCCTTCTCTCTGGCCCTCTCTAGTCAAATTAAAATAAATACATGTAAGTTAAACTAAAAATTATTTAAAGAAAAAAGAAACATATGGCTGAAGTGTGGGATGAGATGCCATGTTGACAGTACGTGGTCATGGTTAAGGGAGCCAGATCCCAGAGGCCTGCATGAACTGAGTCTCAGACCTGGCAATCGGAAAGCACGCTGGGCGTGTGTGTGTGGGCCAAGACCCTAACGAGATGGAAAAACAGAGAAGGGACTGTCTAATGACCCCTCCCCATGGCGGTGCTGCCTCGCTCCCTCTCTGGGGAGGACACACGTCCTTTGGCAAATTACAAATACGTAAGCCCCTAAATGAATTAAAAGTAAATGTGGAGGGACCAGCAGATGGCGTAATGACTGGGGCGCTGGACTCCCATGTAGTCGACTGCGGTGTGAGTCCTGGACCTGGTGGCTTAAACTCATGCCAGGCACAGGTGCATGTGTGCCCAGGATCCCTAGAGAATGGAGAAGGGATTGTGGTGTGGCCATCCCTCCGGGGGCGATTTTTCGTTTTCTATCTCTGTCTTTCTGGTGAGTGCATGTGCCCTATAGCAAAAACCTCTCAAAAAAAAAAAAAGAAAAGAAAAGTAAACATGGAAATATGTCATCCTTTGTTCTTCAACATGCTAGGCAAGAGTGGGGTGGGGATGCGTGTGTCCTTACATCATTCCACTGTTTGAAAATTTTAAAAAAACATTTTACTTAGCTTTAGTTTAATTTGACCAGAGAGAGAGAAAGTGAGAAAGCAGCTGTCAGGTCTAGGACTAGAATCGCGGTCGCCCATGTGGGAGAGAGTCCAGCGACCTTAACCACCATGCCATCTGCAGGCCCCTAGCTCTCCTGTATCTCACAGCTGGGTCTGACTGCAATGAAAAACAACAAACTACTGATAGTTCTTTAGATACACGTGGTTCCCAACTAGCTGGCTCTTCTGTCTGCTTCTCTTCAGGAAGGGGGAGTAAAACCCTGGGGTGTGTGGAGTTCTCCAGGGCCCCAAGGCCGGCAGGCAGAGCGCAGGGACACTCACAGTCAGGGCAGCAGCCGTTGAAGGCCATCCTGCAGATGCCGCAGTTCTCATCGTTGGCCACCCAGAGCCAGGTGGCCACGCCATTCCAGCACTTGATCTTCACCTTCATGGCAGCCTAGTCTGAGCTGCGGGGAGAGAAATGATCCGGCGTCTGCAGAGCTAGACAGAACCCTTGGGCACCAAAGCAGGGGCTGCTCGAAGCCCAACGGGCAGCCTGCAGCAGAGCCCCAGGTGGCAAGCAGCCCATGAGGAGCCACCTGCAAGCGGACGGCCTCTGTGGTGCCACATATTTGAGGGTTCCAGTCCCCAGCCAGGTCCGCCTAAGAACGGGTGGGCTCGCGTGCCAGGATCTCGGTGGGCTAGAGCAGGAGGGTGGGCATCACAGAGCCCCTGGGCCGGCGTTTCTCTTTCTGCTCTCCATCATGAGTTTAAAAATAACAGAATCCAACTATCTGCCACCACGAGAAATCCGCCCGCCCTTGCCTCCTGGGCAGGGCGCTCGCGTCGGCGAGCCTGACGCACAGCTCGGGA